TTGGATCTCATGAGGCACAAACATGAAAGTGCAGGTAAAAGTCAAATTGAGGCAAAGCTGCCTCTGAAGATAAAAATCCTGATTAACTATGTTGTTGTTATATTTCAACTCACAGCGAACCTGCATAGGGTTTCTGAGGAGTGGCTGGTGGATTTGAACTGCCGAGCTTTCAGTTAACAGTCCAGTGCTTATCATAGCACCAGACCAGGACCTTAACATAAATCGTATTGTGATGTTGGTAAAGATGAACAGAGGAAAACATGAGGGGGTTTTCAAAAGTTCATGGAAAAATTCATTATCTTTCAATTCCGCTTTTCCAAGAACTTTTTGAAGCCCCACTGCATTATTTTGTGCTTGTATTCTCAATAAAAATTTTGGTCTTCGAGTCCAACATTAGTCTTTTATTGGAAGAATTGGAGGAGTGAAGCAATGTAGTTGTGAATATCTACCAATTTCAAGAGGGCAGTGAAAATACTCCATCCCAAAATGTTTCCTCCACTCACCTGCTAGACCTTGGTTCTAAATGTCCTCAATCACACTCTCTTAGGAGCCTTGGTGGTGTAGCCCATGGAAACCCACTTTCCATGTTTGACTTCACCAGCTGTTCTGCAAGAGGAAGAGACTTTCTGCGCCTATAAAGATCTGCAGCCTTGAAAATCCTCCACAGGGTCACCATGAGTCCGAATTCACTCAATGGCAGTGACTTTCGGGAATATAGTCTCTACTGAGCTCAACAGCAAAGGACATCGCAGAAATGAAACACACAGTTCCTCAGGATACACATACTCCTCACTTACTGACCATCTCATTATGTGTGACATTTTGCATTTGTAACTATCATAAAAAAAATCTACTATCTGACCATTCTCTGCATTAGTGAAGGCCAAGGTGTTATGCTAATGTTGGTTGTGATGGTTAAGATTAAGTCATCTTGGCTAGGCCATACTTCTCAGTGGTTTGTCAGTTATGTCATGCTGTAGTCATCTTCCGTTTTGTGATCTGATGGATTCATTGTCCATTTTTGCATAATGCTGATTTCCACATAAGGACCCGGTCTTTGGAACCTAATCATGTTGATAAGTGAGGAATGGGTGTATTAGAATGTGGTTTCTAGTTTCCTAGAATCTTTAAGCTAGAAGAGATCTTAGTTCCTACTTTACCCCTATACACACAGCTAACAGATAGGCAGTGAATTAATGGTGGAGGGAAGGATTAATATTCTGATTTTCGGCTCTCTACTGGCCCTACCTTTTTTTTCCTTTACATCACTAAATATTGCTGGGAGTCCTGGTATGGTGCTGCAGGTTAATGCTGAGCTGGACTGCCAGGTCAGTTTGAGTTGCAAAGTTGACTGTCCAGACCCACCAACCACTCCTTGGAAACCATATACAGCGTCACTATGAGTCAGAACTGACTCGATGGCACAACAACAAATATTGACAAGTACGCAGAAGGGAGAAGAGAAGGGATTGGTTTATTTCACAGAGCAATCAGTCACAATCCTAAGGGCAGTATAGGACCTGTGCCATAGACTGAAAGTCTAAGAAGAGGGTGCATTCTGGATTTGTTCCTGATAGTGGTTGTGTGCCGTGGAGTAGGTTCCAACTCATAGTGACCCTCTACAGGGTTTCTGAGGCTGTAAATCTTTACAGGACCAGAAAGCCTCATCTTTCTCCTGCGGAACAGCTGGTAGTTTCAAACTGCTGACCTTGAGATTAGCAGCCCGATTCGTAACCACTATGCTACCAGAGCTCCTTGGATTTGTACCTAGAGACCAGTAAACCATTTGTCATCAAGTTAATTCTAACTTATGGCAATCCCATGTGTGTAAAGGAGTCCATATTTTGCCAGGCCTTTTTCTCTGATTGTTTCTTGGTGGACTCAGACCGACTTTTTGGTCAGCAGCCAAGTGTTTTAACTATTTGTGCCATCCAGGGATTGTCCCTAGACATAGAAATTCTCTATTTTGCCTAATACTGGTTTAAATGCCAAGAAAAATTTAAAGCTGTAATTCTGCATTCTATGAGGGGGGGCTTTAAAAGGTTCATGGGAAAACAATGAAAAGAAGATGGGATTTTTCCACAAAGTTTATGAAACCTCCTCATATATAGTAGGTTGCTCTTCTACTGACAAAGGCAACCAGCAGGGAAACCATATTTCCCGTAAAACACTGTGCCTGATATGAGTTTAATGACAGAGTTTAATAGTTGGTCACATGACACAATAACACTGAAGGTTATTTACACAATCATATATAGATTTAGAGAACGTTCTGGGGGCAGTTGTTACTCTGTGTGGAGACATATCCATGTCAACTTTACATTAAGTTAATGTGTATTTATGAAAACCAGGCTAAGATGATGAAGAAGTAAATATTTTTTACTATCTAAAATTAGCCGCAAGTGGCCTAAATTAGTTTTCAACACTTCCATTTTATTTGAAAGTAGAGTTTAAACAAAACATCATTTGTCATGGAATCGATTCCTTTGAAAATACTATTGTTAATCCTTACTTTTTCCCAATGATTTTTGTGGTTTTGAGTTGGCTTTCAAGTAAATTTAAAAATCAATAGGATTAAATTTCTTCTAATGGGATCCAGAACGATAGTTTTCTTTACTAATAATTATAAGCTATCACGTTTCAATTTGCTTATGGATTTAATCTTTTAGGGTGTCTTTGTACTATCCTTTTAATGATGTTAGGTTACCTCCAGATATTTAGTGCTGCTTGAATTTATTGGATTTTTGGGAAAAGCATAACTTAAAATCACAGTATCAAATGTCACTAAATAGATATTAAAATAAAGCAATCATCTTATTTCTCATTTAATTATAACAGAAGAATTTAAGTCAATTTACCTGTTTTACCACAATGAGTATGTGATTCTAAGCATCTAAAAGTTCAAATCCTAAGAAAACAGAGTACGATTTGAAAAATCCTCACTCCTCAAGAAAAATCAGTTTATTTTACCAGAGAAGCAGTAACATATATATCAGGTGCTAGCATTTCTTAACCAACAGAATTTTCTAAACAATCTGCTTCCAAAAATATTTTTTTTAGCGGCTATTAACTTACAGGGATGTTGTTTTAAGTTGGGAACCTTGGTGATCCATCTCGCAAAGCATGGCTGGAATGAAGAGGTCCCTGAAATCGCTCAATGAGAAGAACTGAAAAGGGCCCTGTGAAGTCACGACCCTTTAAAGGTATTGGTTTACAGAGTGTGAAGCAGGCAATTCAGCAGCTGCACCCAGGAAGCAATGCTGCGAATGCCTGTGACTGGGAATCAGAGAAACTGTCATTCTGAAGGACTGAGTGATACCATCGCCACCCACCACTGCCCACCCACAGTTAGTGTGGCCTACGTTTCTCTAGTAGGGAAGCATTCCTTCATTTGGAACTTGGTTCAGTATTTGAAGAGATCATTAAAATGGAAAACAATTTCTTACCCTCTCAGTTGTGTGTGTGTTTTCATCCATTTTTAGGGTTCCAACTACAAGGACTGTGATAACCTGAGGTGCAGAAACTTAGGCAAAGGCTGCACATTTACGGCACTCAGAGAACTGGCTGCTCAATGGCCCTCCTGTTAGAGGATGAGAAACTTGGTTTCATCACTCTCATGTGAGGCTCATATGATATAGAACGTACTCCTGGGAAGCCTGCTTTGGTTAACTTTAAACGGCTAACTAAGCCATTGCAGAGCAAGGGAAAGGAGTAGAGTCTCAAGATCTTTAAGACTTTTCATACTATTATCAACAAACTGATTTCCCTAACAAGGTCATTTCACTATTCTGGGCTTTGCTGTAGCTACATAATGCTTATGCTCAATTTAATTCCTGTGTTCCCAAGGAGATCATGGTCTGCGGAGGTGATGCAGATAAACAAATTCAAATCTCTCTGACTTCTTTGGATGCAAGAAAGATTTTTTTTTTTTTATTCCATGAGAAAACGTTTACAGACTCAGTCATAATGACTCAAAATCTCTAAATTTTTATATCCTTACGAACAGTCTCTTAAAACAGTCTCTAAAGGTGAGACAGAGTAGTATTTGTTGTACACGTGTGGATCATTTACATACCTTTTCGCTGATTACAAAGAACAGAAATAGTAGCATTCCCCGCCCCCCCCTCCATTTTTAGTGAAACATGGATGCTATATTTAAACAAACTGTTTCTCTTACTTTGCAGAATGTTTATTCTCCTTAGGCTACTCCACTTTGAGTGACATTCTGATTCATCTGTTCTGCAGGAGTAGTGGCAAAGGCCTGTTTGAAGCTTAAACCCGTGACACCTTTTATAGAACAGTGGTACCCTGATCTAAATGATGATTTAGCAGAAATGTTTGTTGTTGTTTTTTCCTGATCATCAGGACCAAATTCAGTCTCTCTTAGAAGAATGAATACACACACTCATACCTACACCCACACCCCATATTCAGAGTCGAGGTTTTTCCTCTTCCCCCTGACTAATAAAATCAGGGGGCTGCAATGAGACCAAGCGGCATGAAGTTTGATGTCCTCAGCAGGATACAGGGAGTCAGGAGTGGTGCTGTAAATCCAGTGAGGGGCTTCAACACTGTGTCAAGTGTGGCCTGGGTCTCAGGGATTTCCCTTTGATGCAAGTTCAGTATATTAATGGGAAAAGCATTCACTTTTATTTGTCTGTACTGTCTGCAGCAGCAAGACTACCTCATTTAGACTGGGCCAACATGAAAATACACAGAGAAGCAATCTGTTGCAAATTAGCACAACTCCCCTTTCATTTACTAGCTAGTAATTGGAAGGGGTTAAGAAAGTGTAACTTATCAGATCACGTGAGTGTGTCTGCTGTGTGGACAGCAAGCCTTTCATGAATTTCCCTATAGTCCCCCAAGGCAATAATCTTTTCTTGATGTCCATTTGCTCTGAAAATCTTTTACTGGGAAAATACTGACACCTGTGAAGTACAGGCACATACTTTGTTAGGTTTGAGAAGGCAGCTTCTGAGACTCTATTAGAACCTTACCTTTCTTTAGATATGTTTTTACTCTCCCGTTTCCAAATTGTCTTGAAGTCACTGCAGAACTCGTACCACACCATAAAAACATAGTTGGGTGTGATCTCCTTCTCACCAGACTTTGGCTTCATCCCAAAATATCCTACTGTTTTTTCAAAACTGCAACAGGAGGGGAAAAGAAAGAGAGGGAGGTAAAGGGTGAGAAAGTGCCAACATCAAATCCCATTAGGTTGAGGAGGGACATAGGAGGGAGGTTTCTTGCAGGTCTATTCTCTAATGCAGGATCCCAGGCTAATCCTTACGGTAGCTTATCCTAAGCCTCAGAAAACCTATTTGCCCAAACCAATTTTCTATGAAATGCAACTTCATTAGGGATATCCCTGGGTATATTTTGTCTATTTAAAATCCAGCATCTTTCATTTCAAATGATATGTAGGTTACACCTTTTAAGTATGGTCTTCATCTTAAGCTCAGCTGTCTATCTTCTCTTCCCTCGATGTTTAATGATTTAATATAAGACTGATGACATATTGATTCTGTATTCTGTAGCACTGGCAGTATTCTGTAGCACTGGCAGTGGGCAGTTAGATAGCCCATTGGGAATCGTTAATCTGGTGAATGTTCTATGAAGAGATTCAGATGGCATTCTATTCTTATTCTGGTATCTCTGACTTTCAATTTTCTCAAGAAAATAAATAAGAGACTGACTATATTATCTTTAAGGAGGGGGTAGGAGTCCATGGGAGGCATAAATGGTTAGCCTCTCAACTCCTAACCCAAAGGCTGGTGGTTTGAAATCCCTCACAGGTGCCTCAGAAAACAGGCCAGATGATCAGCTTCAAAAAGGTTACAACCTTGAGAACCCAATGGAGCAGAGTTCTACTCTGCACACATGGAACCACCACGAGTCAGACCTGACCCTATGGCAACGAACAACAATGCGTTTTAGACCTGGGTATGATGGATGCAAGAATATAAACCACCAACATTCAGGAATAAGCAATTGTGAGCCTAGCAAAGTTTGATAAAATACCATCTCTGATTTAGAAAAGCAAACAAACTCTAATCTGGTCAGAAAAGAATCCGTTTCTTGCAAAGTCATTTCCCAGATATCAGTAAGAACTTCCTAATCTACTCACGAAAGCTCACTGCACACCAGGCTACCCAGGCCTCCCAAGCAGCCTTCTTGGAGGCACTAGCTTTGCAGCAATTTATAGCTCTGAACTCAATCTTTCCCCTTCACCCCCACCCACTGCAAGCCTCACAAGCTCATTTGCCATGAGCAAGAACACTTAAATAAATGGCCCCCTTTTCTAGGGTGTTGGAAACTAATCAAAGCAATAATGGCTGGCCAGGTTTATTACTTAATGCTTTATCATCTGTTCAGACACAGAGTGTTTTGTGGCCATCCTGAATGCAGAGTTTCTAATGGAACTCCACTCAATGGTGATTGTAAAACCCTGAAGCTCCGATACTATTATGGAGCATACTTTCATCTAGTTCTCAGTTATTGGGCAATATGTATCTCATAAGATTTTATCACATTTCACAGATGAACTGTTAATTGATTCCATGGCTATGATTAGGCGAGATCCAAGCTGGAGCTGCAGCTCCTAGTCTCATAAATTCTTTGTGCTTCTGTAAATAATAAATCTGTTTCTAATGCAAATTAAAACTACTGGTCAGGGAATTTTGGCTTCTAGTTATTAAAAGACTGGAAGTGCAGAAGTAGAGAAAGGCAATAACTGCAGTAGTCGCTGAAGGAGCTCTCTTATAATTCCAAACATACTACATATTTTGATTGTTGGAGTCAAACGAGTAATGGAAAAAAGACACAATGACTACTTTCACCCCAGGCACGAGACTTTTTTCTGTGGCAGTCAAAATATTGTTAAAATCACACATATACACTATAGCATATACCTTTATTTCATTTAATATGAATGAAATTTCTATTAAATATGAAAATTATATTGCTAGTAGCCTAGAAGCACGTTAAGTGCTGAGTTATGCAGCCTGTAGAAACAGGTCACAAATTTTTTAGAGAGTCATGAGATTTTAGAATTGGAAGGGGCTCACAGGCCATCTAATCCCATTTTCTCATTTTGTGTATAAGAAAATGGAGACTTGAAAAGACTGAATGGCCTTATTCATTGGCAGAAGTGGGACTAGACTCAAGTTACCTGGTTCCATTGAAATGTTCTTTCTACTCTATCCTTCTTTTGCTCATGCTTTCTAACACAGAAATTTAAGGAATAAAAAACCCTTTTTTATTTTTTGTTTCTACTTTAAATACAATTATTTTCTGTAGCAAATATAACTCCAATAAAATGCATTATATTTTTCTCTTCTTTAGGTCCACCTTCTATACAGATGCATTTTTATTGGTATGTTAACAGAGAAAAGAAAGTCATTCACTCTTAAAATTTTGATATATGGTTAAATTTACTATAATAATCATTATCCTTATATTCTGTGGTAGTATTTTGCTATACAAGGAAATATATAATGCCATACACAAAGCACTAAGGAACTCTGGTAGCGTAGTGGTTACAAATTGGGCTGCGAACCTTAAGGCCAGCAGTTCGAAACTACCAGCTGTTCCGTGGGAGAAAGATGAGGTTTTCTGCTCCCATAAAGATTTACAGCTTCGGAAACCCTGTACAGGGTCGTTATGAGTCGGAACCGACTCCATGGCACATAACAACACCACCACCACAAAGCACTAATACATATAAGCTTTTTAAAAATATTGTAGTAAATTTAAGGGGGCTTCATGAAGTTCTTGGAAAAATGTAATTAAATGATAGTGAAATTTTTTCCAAAAAAAAAAACTCTGTGAAGCCACTTCATATATATGAAACAAAACTTTTGACATTCCAACAAGTCACTTGTTTTTTTTGGATTCAGAGGAAAACATTCTCTTTTTATTCTCTAGCAGGAAGTTAGTAAGACAACGGAAAGTCCAGTCATTGTGCTTCCTGGGTTGCCCTGACACTCCTGGGGTGACTTTGAGCCTAGACTGGGAGAACACCATGTTGCAAATACTGGTAGTTACAGAGGAGGACAGTACTGCTTAGTGATTATTATAGAGGCTGAGAAAAGCATGTCATCATTCCTGGGACCTTATTTTCCCCAGTCCTCAATTGAGGCTAACCATGTACCCTCACTGCCTGTCTCCCTTCCCCCTGAGGATTTGTGAAGCCCTCCTTGACAACCCTTTGTGGGGGGGGTGGTGGTGAAGATGAAAGGAAATACTGAATTTCAGCATTCCTCGTCTATGTTTTCGAAACTAGGAAAGCAAGTGAACATCTTGATAGGAACCAAAGCATACAGATTCCCAGGGAATGATCTGGTTTAGGTACCTGGGTGACTACGGAGTTGCTTTAAGGATGTGCATTATTTGATTTCAGTGTTGTTCCTTTGTTCAAGAAAAAATAAACAGCTAGCATATGAACCAATAAGCTATCTAATAAGGTCTAGGCTATTGTATACCCCAAGCAAAATGATCTTTCTTTTATATTCAGTTTTGATTCTCTAAAAACTAATCATCGAAACCTTCAAAAACATGGGAAAGAAAATTGCCAATATGTGAGGACTAGGCAAATTTTCTACAGTAGACAGGAGACAAAGGGGTTGCCATGCTTTTTAAAATGTGTTTGTCAGCAGATAATTCTAAGACAGCTTCTAACTTTTAAAAGATTGATTTCTGATCATATGTTTTGGTTTAGTCAACTTAAAAAAAAATTATTCCACTCTAAACTATTCCTTGACTCTTCCCTTCATTCTAGTATAACTCCTTCCCTGATTTGTATCTTTTAAATTTGGTCAAGCGCTTTTAAAGTACAGAACTCATAGCAAAGTGAACTGTTTTACTTGTGCAGTGTTGGGATGCCAAAGTGGAACACATCCACTTATTATTTTACATGCATGCCTTCAGAAACTGCTTAGGAAAAGCAAATACTCTTTAGCCTCAGAGTAAATTGTTTCTCTTGAGAATAAAACATAAGAATTTAAGTCTCACACGATTATTGCAACAGTGACCACCAACCTCCTTAAAGAGTGTAACCAAACAACTGTGGTTTCTACATTAAAGATGGGATCTAGTATATTTCATGTATGACATGAAAGCTAGATTACCTTCACCACAAAGCCATGGAAAATGCTGACAACCAAAATTTATGCCTCCCCCCCCACCCCAGCATAGCTAATCCACAGCAGCAGCCATGGTCCCTCTAAGGTGGGCCCCCTTTTCCTTAAGCAAAACTCTTGAAAAATTACTTGAAATTTGACATCTTCTCTAGAAGCAGCGCTTCTGTTTGGCCTGATACCAGTAAGGCCATGTTGACAATCTCTTTTCTGTATTTCCATACAAAGAAATACCAGTTTTACACACTGAGGACGGAAAAGTTAATATGGGGATAACCAGTTGCTGTTGAGTCGAACTTGACTCATGGCAACTCCATGTGTGTCCAAGTAGCACTGTACTCTACATGGAGTTTCAGTGACTGCTTTTTTTAGAAGTACACTGCTAGGTATTTCTTCCAAGCCATCTCTAAGTAGACCTGAGTCTCTAAATCTTTGGTTAGCAGTCTAATATATTAACTGTTTGTAATACCCAGGGATGCAGATATGGAAAGGTATAAAACCAACAAAAGGGCACCAAAATCTAAAAAAAACATGTATTCAATTCATTATTTTAGTTTTCAGTAGTGATTATGATAGCAACTACAATCATAATTCAAGAACATGTCTGCAGTTAGAAAAGTGGAAGCTCTGTCCCTATCTTGCTTTTATGGATTATTATTTCATTGTGAAAACAGTGGGATTCAGGGCACAATGTGGGCCTCATCACAGCTGGGCAGATAGATGTCTCTGTAGACTTTCAGAAATCTGGGAAATCATGGCTAGACATACTCTGAGATCAGGAGAAAAAATGATTCTTTTCTAGAGTTTGTTCTTTTGCATTTAAAATCATGCAAAATCCTCTCTCCACCGACCTGTGCATTTCTCCTTACATGCTGTTTCTTAATACTACTTCTCATTTGATTTTCTAGTACTTTGAGAATTGGTACCAGCAAAATTAATCTCAGTTGTATGCCCTGGAAATGAGAAAGCCTCAGCATATTCCCACCCATACTTTTTATAAGGAAGATATTGCCTAGCTGACTAAACTGTTAAACGGACAAAAAGAAAAATCCCTGCGGGTCAGATGCTATGATTCTTGCATTCTGATGGATGGATGTTTCCACTCTGATGTCTATCGAGAGACAGAAAAGTGAGGAAGAGACCTAAAGTAACTTGAGAGGTTAAAGAGATGGCCTCTGAGGTCTCTTTCAATTTCTGGGAGAGTTTTCAATGATTATCATATAGAAGGACAATCATAATTCATGAACATGTCAGTTCCCTCTCACCTCCCACCCCTTTATTTCCCTCCACCCTGGCCTGTTTACATATCAAAGATCTGAGGAAAGACATAATTCTCTTAGAAGTCCAATAATTGGCTTCTTGTTGTTGTTAAGTGCCATAGCGACCTTGGATAGGGTTTCAGAGGCTGTATATCTTTGTGGGAGCAGAAAGCCTCACTGTTCTCCCACAGAGCAGTGACTAGTGGGCTCAAACCACTGACCTTATGGTTAAAAATTCATTGCTAATCATACAGAACCACCACATTCCCAAATAACTGGCTTAGTCTAGATCTAATAAGGAGCTCTGGCAGTGCAATGGAGAAGTGCTCAGCTGCTAAGGGTAAGGTTGGTGGTTTGACCACATTCAACAGCAACTAGAAGTCTTCCCGGTAAATTCTGCTACCTAGAAAACCTTAAGGGGCTGCAATTCTGCTGTGTCCCATGGCGTTGAGTCGATTTGATTCACCAGCACCGAACCACAGCAGTAGTTATAATGATAAAAAGGATCAAATTGTTCTTAACTTCTGTAACACTGTTCAGGAACAGAATGATGGAGAGAAGTAAACAGATGGAAGTGGCCACATGAAAAGCAGGTGATACAGGTGACTTATGAAGCATATCCCAACTCCTGTTACAGTGTTTCCATTTTAGTTCCCAAGATAATTTTATAATTCATGGATATATAGTCTTGATAAGTGAGACCAATTAAGAATGGCTAATCAAAGGATTTAAGGAGCTCTGGTAGCATAGTGGTTACGAGTCGGGGTGCCAACCTCAAGGTCAGCAGTTCAAAACTACCAGTGGTTCCGTGAGAGAAAGATGAGGCATTCTGCTCCTGTAAAGATTTACAGTCTTGGAAACCCTGTGCAGGGTCACTATGAGTCGGAACCAACTCCACGATACTTAACAACAACAATCAAAGGATTTGGGCCAAGTCAGGTCTGCTTACCTTGTATGTGCATTCTCCAAGTGACTTTCTTCCATTTTATGCTCCCGTTTGGCTGTGAAAGAGAAAGAATAATACTATTAAAGCAGCATCTTCTCTCATTATATTCTTTGCTTCATCTTACTGCTTTATTGTTGTAATAAATTGAATTCGGGGTTGGCAACCCCTATCATGAGTCCTGGACACAGCATTCATAATAGCGATAGCTATAGGTGTGGCACTGTGGGATAAAGAACTGCACCGCAAGGTTTGTTTGAATCACAAGGTTGGCGACTTAAACCCACCAGCCACTCTTTGGAAACCCTATATGGGGTCACTATAAACCAACTTGATGGTACTTAAAAACAACAACAATAAATATATAATTTATTGCTCTAGGTGGGACACTTTTGGAATTGAAAGGCAGTGTGACATTTAAATGGGAAAGATCCCGGGATAACTGGAATATGTGGTCCCATAGTTACGAACTGGCCTCTGCGTGAGCCTTGTGAGCTATGTGCTCAGCACTTTCCCTCACACCATAACACAGTACACTCAAGTCTGCTCAGATTCAAACAAATTCATGATAATCCTGGCATATATTGCCTCCACTGGCCCCTTGGGGAAATTTATGAACTCCTTCTCAAAATGATGTTTTAAATGAAGAAAACAACAACACTAGTAACTTGGTTACTAAGGAAACTTGAGGTAAAATCCCAAATCTTCAGGTTAAGAACCCATGCTATGTAGGGAATATTTAACTAGGTAATTTCATATTCTTTTCTCTAATCAGAAGATAATGATAGTATGGTAACATCATTCTTACATCTTAAAATAGCCAGAAAAACAGACAGGTAAGCCATACCATAATTTTTATGAATTTAAGATTCCTATAGTAGCGTAGTGGTTACGAATCGGGCTGCGAACCTTAAGGTCAGTGGTTCGAAACTACCAGCCGCTCCGCGGGAGAAAGATAAGGCTTTCTACTCCCGTAAGGATTTACACCCTCGGAAACCCTGTACAGGGTCGCTATGGGTCGGCTCCGACTCGAAGGCACTTAACAACAACAACAACAATAGCTTAAGTCTAATCAATGTGACACAAATTTAAATGATCTATGAGAATCTACATTGTGATATTCCACGGAAAGGCACTGAAGGGTTTTAGAACATGACACTTTATTAAGCCTAGCTCTGTGATGCAGGCAAGTTAGTCATCATCAAATGCTTAGTGAGTTCCTCACCCGTACTACGAGACTACTAACCACAAGTTCAGCAGTTCAAATCCACCAGCAGGTCCTGGGAAGCCCTATACAGGGTCACTATGAGTTGGATCCAACTCCATGGCACTTAACAACAACAAATATGAGGAAAGCCATAGTGCCTATCATACAGCTATTATAAAGATTAAAAGAGATAATACATGTAAAATGCTTGTCTACTGCCTCTACGAACGAGTCAATTCCAATTCAAAGGACACAGTAGAATTGCTCCACAGACTTTCCAAGACTGGTACCTTTAAGGAAGCAGAATGCCAGATTTTTCTCCTGATGAGTGACTGGTGGGTTCAAACCATTGCCCTGTAAATTAGTATCTAATTGCTTAACCACTGAGCCACTGAAGCTCCTTATAAAGTGTTTTATAGCTAAGCGCCATCTAGTCTGTTCTGACTCATAGTGACCCCATGCACAACACAACCAAACACTGCCTCTGCCTGCACCATCCTTACAACTGTTATGTTTAAGTCCATTGCTGTTGCCACTGTGCTAATCCATCTTGTTGGGGGTTTTCCTCTTTTTTGCTGACCCTCCACTTTACCAATCATCACGTTTTCTCCAGGGACTGGTCCTTCCTGACATGTACAAAATAAGAGAGATGAAGTCTCATCATCCTCCCTTCTAAACAGCACTCTGGCTGTACTTCTTCCAAGACAGATTTGTTTGTTCTTCTGGCAGTCCATGGTATTGTGGATGTTCTTTGTCAGTATCATATTTCAAATGGATCAATTATTCTACAGTCTTCCTTATTCACTGTCCAACTTTCACATGCATATGAAATAACTGAATATATTGTTACTTGGGTCAAGTGTAGCTTAACCTTCCAAGTGACATCTTTGCTCTTGAACACTTTAAAGAGGTTCTTTGCAGATTTGCCTAGTGCAATACATCTTTTGGTTTCTTGACTGCTACTTCCATGAGTGTTGATTGTGGGTCCAAGCAAAATGAAGTCTTTGATAACTTCAATCTTTTCTCCATTTATCATTGCTTACTGGTGTAGTTGTGAAGATTTCTGTTTTCTTTATGTTGAGGTGTATTCCATACTGAAAGCTGTAGTCTTTGATCTTCATCACTAAGTGTTTTAAGACCTCTTCACTTTCAACAAGCAAGATTGTGTCATCTGCATAACCCTGTTTGTTAATGAGTCTTCCTCCAGATGTCACATTCTTCTCCATATAAGCCATTTTCTTGGATTATTTGCTCAGCATACAGACTGAATAAACAGAGTGAAAGGACAGAACTCTTGCACACACCTTTCCTGATTTTAAAACATTTAGTCCCTCTTTTTCTGTTCTAATGACTATCTCTTAGTCTATGTACAGGTTCCTCATGAGCAAAATTAAGTGTTATGGAATTCTCATTCTCTGCAATGTTACCCATAACTTGTTAAGATCCACATAGTCAAATACCTCAGAATACTCAATAAAGCACAAATAAACATCTTTCTGGTAACCTCTGCTTTCAGCCAAGATCCATCTGATGACAGTAATGATATCCTTCACTCTACATCCTCTTCTGAATCCAGCTTTAGTTTCTGATAGCTCCCTGTCGATGTACTGCTACAACTGTTTTTGAATTATCTTCAGAAAAATTTTACTTGCAGGTGATATTATAATGATATTGTTCAGTTATTTCCACTGGATCAATTATTCTACAGTCTTCCTTATTCATTGTCCAACTTTCATATGCATATGAAATGACTGGGTATACTGTTACTTGGGTCAAGTGTAGCTTAATCTTCAAAGTGACATCTTTGCTCTTGAACACTTTAAAGAGATTCTTTGGGTCACTTTGTGAATGGGCACAAATATGAAACTCTTCAATCAGTTGGTCAGCTAGCTGTCTTCCAAATTTCTTGGCAAACACAAGTGAGTTCTCCACAGCTGCATCAGTTTGTTGAAATATTTCAGTTGTTATTCTGTCAATTCCTGGAGCCTTGCTATGCCTTCAGTGTAATGGACTTCTTCCTTCAATATCATTGATGCTTTTTTTTTTTTTTAAACTTGTGCTTTATTGACTATGCAAAGACATTCAACAGTGTGGATCATAGCAACCTATGGCTAACATTGTGAAGAATGACTATTCTGGAACACTTAATTGTACTTATGAGGAACTTATACACAGACTAAGGGTAATCATTAGAATAGAACAAAGGAATACTGAATGATTTAAAATCATCAGGAGAGGTGTGGGCTAGGGTTGTATCCTTGCACCATACTTATTCAATCTGTATGCTGAGCAAATAATCCAAGAAGAACGTGGAATTAGGATTGAAGGAAGACTCATTAACAGCCTTTGGTATGCAGATATCACAAGCTTGCTTGCTAAAGCAAAGAGGACTTAAAGTACTTAACTGATGAAGATCAAAGGCAACAGCCTTCAATAGATTATTGATTCTTGATCATATGCTACCTCTTGAATGATTGAAAATAATCTCATATAATTCTTTCTGATACAGTGACTCTCTGTATTCCTTCCATCTTCTTTTGATGCTTTTTGCATCATTCAATATTTTGCCCATAGAGTCCTTCAGTATTGCAAGTCCAAGATTGAATATTTTCTTCATTTCTTTTAGGCTTGAGAAATGCAGAGTGCGTTCTTTCCTTTTGGTTTTCTAACTCCAGATCTTTGCACATTCCTTATAGTACTTGACTTTGTCTACTCGAAATGCTCTTTGAAATTTTCTTTTCCACTCTTTTATTTCATCATTTCTTCCAGTCACATTAACTTCTCTATGTTAAGAGCAAATTTCAGAGTTTCTTCTGACATCCATTTTGGTACCCCATCCCTCACCCCTTCCTCTCTTTTTAATGACCTTTTGCCTTCTTTGTGTGTGATGTTCTTGATGTTATCCATAACTCTCTGGTCTTCAATCATTAGTGTGTTTTTTTGTTTTTTTTTCTTTAAACTTTTTATTGTGAATTGAGTGAAGGTTTACAGGGCATATCATTAGTTTTACATTCAATAAACCACTTTGCTTCATTACATGGTTGCAATCCCCTCCATGTAGCATTTACCAATATTCACATAAACTATTGCATTCTTCCCTGTGTCTCCCATGACCTTCATTTTCCTCTGCTAACTTCCCTCTTGTTGTCTATTGACTACTCTGTCAACCATGGTAACATGTGTCTACTCTCCAGCCCACGAATAATTTTCTGTTCCCCTTTCCCAACTATCATAGATTGTTTCTTTTATAAAATGAGCAAACAAAAAAAATTCCAACTTTCTTTTAAAAACTTTTTATAACAGTGTTCTCATGTTTGACTAATTTCACTAAATGTAATATCTTCCAGGTTCAACCATGTTGTGAGGCGTTTCACAGATTCATCATTATTCTTCACTGTCTTATAGTATTCCATTGTGTGTACATACTAAAGTTTGTTTAACCATTCTTCTGTTGATAGGCATTTAGGCTATCTTTGTGATGTCTCTCTTATAGGCAGCATATTGAAGGATCTGGTTTTCTTATCCATTCTGCTCTCTATGTCTCTTGACTGGTGCATTTAACCCATTTACATTCTGTGTAATAGTCAATAGATACAAATTGATTGCTGTCATTTTTCTCTGTGGGTTTTTTTTTTTTTTTTTTGTAGTACTGCTGGATTCTTTGTTCTACATGATCTTCATTTTGTTTGCATGTTTTCTTTTCATTTTTATTTCTTTTGTGATAATGCTTACAAAATCTTTCTGATTTTCCTCTTTTTGTATTTTGATGTGCAGGTATATCATTGTATTTTTTAAGTTATCCTGTAATTTATTATTTTTCCCATGATTAAAACCTTATTCTTATCTTGAAA